GAAATTTATGGTAGGTTTAATTAAAATTCGGTTCGGAGCAATTAAATTTGATTAAAATAATGCCATTTGTTTACTTTTGATCAATTACTACTCATTAGGCCATTTTGACTCCAGTAGCTTATGTTTTCTTTATTCACTCTTACTCAACTTGATGCAAAACGTGAGAGAGAGAGAGAGAGAGAGAGAGAGAGAGGGAGGAGATAGGGGATGAACTCCGTAGACACAGCTCATATGCTTGTCTAGAGAAGTGAAGATAGGTTGTTATACATATCTGTTGTAGAATGTGGATATAGCTTATATGCTTATCTGTGGATATTGTTGTTATACATATCTGTTGTAGAATGTGGATATAGCTTATATGCTTATCTGAATGTGGGATATAGTTTTTATACATATCTGTGGAAATGATGATAGAGCTAGCATGCTTATCTGTTGAAAAAGGGAAAATGAAAGGTAAGTTAGACTCATAAGTTGTATGACATAAATGTGTAATTTATGTGAATGTATCAGTGTTGGCCATCTATCAAGTGCTAATATTTTAGTCATTGTTCATGGTTGGTTTAGTGTATTTCTACTGGGCTGTGGCTCACCCTATAAGGGAATATCATTTTCAGGTGTAGGAAGCATGCCACCTCCAAGGACATAGCTGGAGGCTAGTGGCGGACATACTTTTGTCGTTTAACTTTTGATGTATTACATGTAACTTCAAGCCTAGGGCTTAATGTGTAAACGAGTTAGTACTCTTTGTTGTAACCAAGTGTTAATTTGGAAAGCTGTAAGCCTGTAGGGCATTTTGTTATGATGTTAACATGTAATACTTATGTAATGGAACTCTAATGAATAAAGGAATGTGGTTAGTTTATATGTAAATGCATGTCTTATTTGATGGGTTTAATGTTATTATTTTGAGGGCGTTACACCTTATATCAATTTGATCCAACCATTTAACATTTTAGACAATTTTTTGAGTATTTTTCCTGATTATGTAGAATTGCTGCTTACTTAAAAATCAGAACTTAGTTTAATTCCTAGTACTTTTCTCTGTCAAAGAGGAAGATGAGTTGCTTTTAACTAGGCCAACTGTTTGATTCTTGTTATTGGGTTTTCTGATCTTGATAAAGCCTTTTTGAAAATCTGATGTTTTCATTTGAGCATCATAAAAATCATACTCTAATAAAATTCCAAAATTTTATTATCAAGATCATTCATGATGACAATAATGACGACTAATAAAATTGTTAAATTCTAATATTTTGCAAAATAGGTTCTGAAACAGATCCTAGTCAAGGATCCAACAGCTTATAAGGAAAACTAATTTTCTAGGTAAAACATTTAAATTGCCTTCTTATGCATCCGTTATTAAAAAGCATATGCTATACAAACATCATTACTTTAAATTCCAGTATCAAAAGATTATTGCAAATAATATAATTTCATAAATGTAGGAAGCCCTCCATAAAAGTAGTGTATACAAAGAATTGGAACACTTTTGTAAATGAAGAATGGACAATAGTCATCCTAGACATGACTTCAAGCGTATGCTAGATAAGCAACCAATCAAAATAAAGTGATGCTTGAGAGGCAGGTAAATATATCACTAGGGGGAATATTTAGAATTAGTGTAGTTCCAGAATTTAACAATTATTTTTTCTAGAAATGTAAATTAAGTAAATGCTAATTTAATTATTGCCAAAAACTCTCAATAATTTGAATCATCAAGCATTTCAACCACGTGTTGATCCCTCCATGTTATCTCACATCAAGTACGCTCTACAGATCAAGGCTCACAAAGATACAACTTCAAGCTCTTATTTTAGAGATTATTTTGAAATTTTGATTGAGATCAAGTTATTCAAGCCCTCAGTAAATTCTCTTTTCCTTCAAGCTTCTCAGTTTGAACACTTAAAGAAATCCATCAATTGGTTTGATTTTATTTTGTTATCTGTTCAATTTTCTTTTCTCTAGTAATGTGATTTGACGTGTATCACTATTCTATAAATCCTTTATCTCTTACTCTTACTCTTCCTCTTGGACAACATAAAGCCATTGGATTTTTTAATATTATACATTGGTTATGTTGGGCATCTGTTGGTATAATAAAGAATGAATTTTTTCCCCCTAACTTATATAGAAAATCATTGGTTTCGCCATTCATTATGTATTACATTGAGTTGAATGTTAATAAGAACCTACTCAATCTGATGGAATTCCAAACAAATATAAAATTAATATTAAAATAATATGTGCATAGATAATGCACCAACAACATTCAATCATGAGAAGAATTGTATATCAATCAATAAAAATCCTCAAATATATAGGTAAAATATGCAACTACTAATCCAGAAGGGAAATATTACATTCAATGATAACCCAAAAGTATCATTACCAGAAGTATAACATAAGAAGAAACGAAGAATTAGGAACATAAACAGATTTCAATAAATAAATAATTACAGTCTCGTATCAATTACATAAGTACAAAATTCAATTACCCACACATCAGATTTCACAAACTCAACCAAAATTTCAAGATATATCTATATATATGGAGTCAAAACCACTACCAAATCAAACAAGCATTACAAACAAAAGCTATTCATATCATATTTTTCTAAATTTAGAATCCAACCACTCCAAGTGAGTTCACAAATGTGAAAGGGACATTTTGAAGAATGGGAAACAAGAATCGATACAGGAAATAGGGGTTAACAAAAGGGGATTTCGAAGAAGGGAATCAAAACAACTACCAAAGCAAACAAACATAAAAAAACCTAAACCTAATATTTTCCTAATTTTATAAACCAACCTAGTCAGTTCACAAACATGAAAGGGGCAGTTTCAAAGAAGGGGATTGCTGTCTAGGGTTTCATAGAATGGAGATGAAGAAAGGAGGAGAGAAAAAAGTTGCACAGAGAGAGAGAGAGAAAGAGAGAGAGAGAGACATACCTTGAGGCGAAGTCGAGGGCAGGTCGTATTCGCGGGATGGTCTTCGATGGCGAAGAAGAGTGTCGGAGTGGGGTCTCAAAAACAAAGGGGGCTTTGGGAAAACACCGTGAAGAGCTCAGCTGAAAGAGAACAATCAGTGAAGAAATTTGTAAAAATCGTAACCGGCTGAAAAGGTACTCAAGATTTTTAATCAAATTATTCAATGGTTGAAATTAATTTGTAAAAATCTAATGGCTTAAAATAAATGTGTATATGATGTGCACATCTTATTGATATATAAATAAATTTTGTTCCCACTGTTAGGGTATAAGGAGAAGGAAAATCTCAATTTATAGGGGTCCAAAATAACATAAGGGAGAATTGTCCGAGTTGGATCCGAGTGGAGAACAAGCGGTGACTCATCAATTGCAGTCAAGTAAGTGAGTGAGTGGAGTAAAATTCGAAAAAGGAGGGAAGTGAGAGAGAGAGAGAGAGAGAGAGAGAGAGAGAGAGGCCATGGAAAACCTCTCAAGCCTAGTTCACGAGCTTCGCGAACGCATAGCAGCTTCATCATCAACACCTCCCAACATCGGAGACGATGACGCTCTCAAGATCAGATTTCGCGATGTTCTTCCCAATCTCCTTCACACCTATGTCGTCCCCTCTTCTTCAGGTCTCTCTCTCTCTCTCTAAAACCCCTCTGTTCAATAAATTCTCGAATTCATCGTTGCTTTTCTTGGTGTGTAGCCAATGAGAGAGAGGTCATCGCGGTATTGAAGCAATTGACTCACACAGCAAAGAATTTCCCCGGAGTTTTCTTCCATGGCAGGGCTGCTGCAGTCCTACCTCTTATTGGTCGCATACTGCCATTCTTCGCGGAGCCCACATTTCGGTGAGTGTGGCTAACAAGTATTCTCTTTTGTGTGCTGTCATGAAATTGTGTAATTTTCTAGTGTATTGTCTGCAAGTTTGATGCTTCTTTGGTTATTAATGAAAGAATGTTTGTCTTTTATGTTTCTTTATGGAGTTTTATGTTATTTGACTTTTGTGTAATGTTTGGAGTTGTAATGGCATCTCCAATGCTTGACTCAAATTTCGGTAAAAGTCACTTAAAACATCCTCCATTGCTTGACCCAAATTTATAACAAATTGAGTTTTTCTCAAATTTTTACCCAAATCAAGGGAGACTCAAATCTTTGCTCAAAAATTTTTACGCTATTTTGTGAGTTTTAAATTAATCAATTTTCCATTAGTGAAGTTTTTACTCAAATTTATGCTTAAATCTAAGTTTGCCTATTGGGAGTGGTTCATATAAAAGAAACTTAATGTTTTATTCAAATTTCAGTAAGGACTGCAGATGGCCTAAGGTATCCACTTTTAAGTTATGGATTTTGTATATTTTGTAGAGTGACAACACATTATGACCCAACTAAGACAAGAAATTCTTTCAGTATATTTATATATAAACTACATAAACACTCCCCGAGTTGCTTCCAACCTTATATGTTTCCTATGTGCCCTCGCCATCTCACGCTTGTCCCTGCACCCAGTTCTTGCAATTAAGGTTTCAACCTCCTCAATAAGAAAAAAGAATGAACAGATGATGCATTACACCTGAGATAGTTTTGATATCTTCCGAGTAGCATTTATTACATTTTTGACACTGTGGTTGAATGTGTTGGCCTCTGTACATATTCTCAACAATATTTTAATTGTGGATGGCTGGATGTTAATTTATGGTTACAAAATGCTATGTGAATAGCAACTATCAAATGACTATTAGTTGTAAATCTTTAGCCTGTGTTTAAATAAAAAAAAGATATGTGGTTTGAATTTTTTATTACAAAACAAACAATGTTTTTGATACTATTCTTGCTTGTTTTTCATATTTCTTTCTTCATTTTCTGTTGAGTACATGTTTCAGCATCTTTTTATTTTTTTATCACTGGTTGTTGGAAAATTGACATAATATGTTTCAGCTCTCGGCATGGAGTGATTTTTGAAACAGTTGGATCCCTTTTATCCTTGCTCCGTACAGGAGATCGAGATGCATACCGTCAGTTTTTTATAGACACCATGTTGATGGTTGAAGGTATGAAATGCACCATGCAAACATCACAGTATATAAAATAAAGGTGATTGCATCATTTAAAGAACTGAGTGATGCTCTATATTATTTTTCTCTCTCTGTCGCCCACAGTGGTACTCTTGTTTGATGATTTCCTCAAACTTACGAAGAATGTTCATGGAAAGAATAGCAACTTTTTTTGTTTTCTGTCCCTTTCTCTAGTTAGTGATGGATGAGGGAATTGGATAAAAAAGTGTGACCCAATGCACGAGGCTCCCATTCAAGTGGGGTTCCATTACTTTATATTTATTAAGTTTGATTGTTTTATTATGTTTTAAAAATTGTAGTTTTACTTTTTGCAACTTTTAATAAGAATTTTCATGGATGCCTATAAATAGGCCTTTTATGTAATGGTTTCGCAGACTATGCTATTGAGATAAGAGATTTTAGGGTTTCTTTTGTTTTCTTGCCCTTGACCTTTCTTTTCTTTTCTTTTCTTTTGGTTACTCCATGTCACATAATTCTTGACACGCTATAAAGCTCCATAATTCAATGATTCATGGTCTAGACCATTGCGATCAGTTCTTCAATTATGTTTTCGCACTACTAATATATCTCATAGCCATGATCAGGACCATCCTGGTTAAAATTGATTCTGGTTCATTTGTAATGGAGCGGTTCGTTGTCAAAAGAACACCGAAGGTTATAGTATTAACAATTGATTTGTTGAAAGATGTAAAAAAGGGTTTTCTTGACTAAAGGCAGGGGTGAGCTTTCTCAGAGTAATGACCACTTTGAAGAATGAACCAATGACAATAAAGGATGATAAGAAGGGCCACATAATTAGAGTTACGAAGAAGTTCAAATTCTGATAGCAATTTTGGAAGAATATTAATTGTTAATGTTGGCAAAACTTATCCGATGATGTGAATTTTAGTATGACAAAGTCCTTTTGTTGAGTGAAGATTTAGTTCCATATCATGGAGGATCTTGAATATTTTTTTTCTGGCAGGTTCATCTACCTAGAAGATGTGCTACGCTTCATGTTAGAAGATGAGGCTTTGAAGACCATGAGTCCTTTGGGAGGCTCACCTGAAAGTGAAAAAATAAGCCAGTCTTCTCTGAAGAACTGGGCGGTAAGAACTTGGCAATAGATGGTGCATTTATTTGTGTAAATTTTTTTTCTTCTTTATTTATAGTTTTACTGTTGTGATTAATTAATTGTGTAAAAGTGTTTCATTTATTTATTTTAACAAGGAGTATTGTCATCAGTTTACATATTGTTTGCTTTTAAAACTATCATGCAAATATGATAATGTGTTATGTCTGATTCTTTTAGGTTAATGCTTTTAGAGAACGAAGAGCGCTTGCCTTGACACTCGATGATACAAAAACCGCTGTCAACAAACTTCGTCATATGGCGAATGTACTAGTTGTCATCGTTATAGCGGTTGTTTCTCTCATCATACTAGGAATTGCAACCAGCAGATTTCTATTCCTTATAAGCTCTTAGATCGTCGTTGTGGCATTCATATTTGGAAACTCTTGCAAGACTGTATTTGAAGCCATTGTCTTTTGTTTGTGATGCACCCATATGATGTAGGTGATCAGTGTGAGATTGATGGAGTTTAGGTATAATAATCATATTTTGTTTGAAATCATGCTTATGCCCCTTCTTTTACATTTCCCTTTATTCAATTTTGACTTTTGGTATGTACTATGCCTTGACTTTCAGATGGTAGTTGAAGAGATGAATATCTTGACTACCATTTTTCTGAGATTAGACAACCAAAAGATTATATATCCGAATAGCATTCTTTCTACAAAGCCTATCAGTAACTACTATCGTAGTCCAGACATGGGCGATTCAATTGATTTCTGTGTCCATATTGCAACTCCAATAGAGAAGATTGCTATCATTCGGCAAAGAATAATAAGGTATAGAAAGGCAATCTCCCCCCCTCTTTTAGCATGCTCTCTTTTTCTTCTTCCTTTTAGTATTATTCTTTTTACTAGTGCAAGTGCAGTTTTGATCACATAATATAAATAGTAAGAGTAAGATCTCTTTTGGTTGTAGCTTATAAATTTTGTATTTTTAGGCTGATTTTGATCTTTAGCAAAGTTTTTTCAATGCAACAGTTTTAGCCTAAAAGTCAAAAAGTCTCTAAAAAATCAAAAAGTCTATAACTTATACCAAAAAGTCAAAGATTTCTTTTTCTCTTTAATTTTTGCACATCTTTTCATAAAAAATCAAAAATTTATTCCAAACATACTAATTTTTTTTACCTCATATTTTAGCCAAAAAGCTAAAAAGTTACTAAAATAGCCTGTTCCCAAACGAAGTTGTCCAACTATTTTACTTTTTCGCTTCGTCTAGACTAGACTTAGGCCTCGTTTGACATGCAACACTTTTAGCTTAAAAGTCAAAAAATTACTAAAAAAATAAAACAAAAATGCTTGAAACCACTAATTAGAGTTACCACTAATGATGCACCCACTGCCACAGTGTGTGCTGTGCCTTGTTTTTGTTTTTGTTTTTTTTTTCATTTCCACCTCACTAGTGGTGGATTTAGAGCTTATTATTTAGAGCGCCAAATCATTATTGAAAATCAAAAAGCCTATAACCTATATAAAAAAGTCAATGATTCCCTTTTCTCTCTAATTTTTGCACATCTTTTGGTAAAAAATCAAAAAGTCATTCTAAACATACTAATTTTTTTACCTCATATTTTAGCCAGAAAATCAAAAAATTACTAAAATAGTATGTTTCCAAACGAGGCCTTAGTTTAGATGGATCTAAAAGGTAAAAATTTTGCCCCATTGGTTTCTCAAGCTTAAGGTCAGAGTTAGGTCACTTCGATGAATTCCTGAGCCAAAATAAAATAAATACCAAAAACTTTAGAAATGAAGAGCAATTACTGATATTTTGAGTTTCATGAACATTTCTTCGATTGACAGCGCCATAGTCTTGGCAACTGTTAGAACATTAATGAAATTGCAGTGACAACGCGTTGAGATTAAGAATGTAATAATTCTGATAAATGTGAATTTGATTGATTAATCCCCGTGGCTGCTTATGCAGTTATGTTGAAAGCAAGAAGGACCACTGGTATCCTTCGCCATTGGTGGTACCGATGGACCTGGTGGGGTTAAACGATCTGAAACTATCAGTGTGGCTGAGGCATCATATGAACCACCAAGACATGGGTGAGAAGTGGTTAAGGAGAGCTGTCACGCCCCCAAACCGCCCCTAGTAGTTTGGTGCCGTGATGGCCAGTAATCCGTAATTACCGAAGGCCAACTTTCAAAATCACACACAATCAGAGTATAAAATATGGGGCTTACAAGTGCGGAAGCAATATATATACATATACAGAATCTAAATAGTCCATGAGAGCCGTGCATAAGTCCAATGAAATGACATACATCTTTATAAAGTCTTTTTCTTCTTTATTTATAGTTTTACTGTTGTGATTAATTAATTGTGTAAAAGTGTTTCATTTATTTATTTTAACAAGGAGTATTGTCATCAGTTTACATATTGTTTGCTTTTAAAACTATCATGCAAATATGATAATGTGTTATGCCTGATTCTTTTAGGTTAATGCTTTTAGAGAACGAAGAGCGCTTGCCTTGACACTCGATGATACAAAAACCGCTGTCAACAAACTTCGTCATATGGCGAATGTACTAGTTGTCATCGTTATAGCGGTTGTTTCTCTCATCATACTAGGAATTGCAACCAGCAGATTTCTATTCCTTATAAGCTCTTAGATCGTCGTTGTGGCATTCATATTTGGAAACTCTTGCAAGACTGTATTTGAAGCCATTGTCTTTTTGTTTGTGATGCACCCATATGATGTAGGTGATCAGTGTGAGATTGATGGAGTTCAGGTATGATAATCATATTTTGTTTGAAATCGTGCTTATGCCCTTTCTTTTACATTTCCCTTTATTCAATTTCGACTTTTGATATGTACTATGCCTTGACTTTCAGATGGTAGTTGAAGAGATGAATATCTTGACTACCATTTTTCTGAGATTAGACAACCAAAAGATTATATATCCGAATAGCATTCTTTCTACAAAGCCTATCAGTAACTACTATCGTAGTCCAGACATGGGCGATTCAATTGATTTCTGTGTCCATATTGCAACTCCAATAGAGAAGATTGCTATCATTAGGCAAAGAATAATAAGGTATAGAAAGGCAATCTCCCCCCCCTCTTTCAGCATGCTCTCTTTTTCTTCTTCCTTTTAGTATTATTCTTTTTACTAGTGCAAGTGCAGTTTTGATCACATAATATAAATAGTAAGAGTAAGATCTCTTTTGGTTGTAGCTTATAAATTTTGTATTTTTAGGCTGATTTTGATCTTTAGCAAAGTTTTTTCAATGCAACAGTTTTAGCCTAAAAGTCAAAAAATTACTAAAAAAATAAAACAAAAATGCTTGAAACCACTAATTAGAGTTACCACTAATGATGTGGCACAGTGTGTGCTGTGCCTTGTTTTTGTTTTTTTTTTTTTCATTTCCACCTCACTAGTGGTGGATTTAGAGCTCATTATTTAGAGCTCTAAATCATTATTGAAAATCAAAAAGCCTATAACCTATATAAAAAAGTCAATGATTCCCTTTTCTCT